GATCAACCAGACCAAAGCTCAGTTTACAGCAGAGGCCCACAGCCCAGGGGGCTGAAGGGCAACAAAGGTGAGCATAGGCAGAGGACTACAGCTATCCCCAGGCCACACACTCTCAGGAAGGCACCACCCCACCTCCCCAGAATATACGCTGATCCTCCAAGCCATCTTCAGCGGTGACCCCAGCTACTTAGGAGGCAGGAGAACAGCATTTGTAAGACCATCCTGGGCAACTTAGTAGGACCTTGTCTCAGAAATTTAAAAAGCGATGGGAGTACAGCTTGCCAGGCATGTATGAGAGCCTGGGCTTCATCCCCAGTGCTGAAGGAGTGAAGGAAAGGAAGTGGGGAAAGAAGAGGAAAAGAAGAGAAGCCTTCAGTGCGGAGAAGGGCACCCAAAGGTGGAGGAGCACCTGCCACCTGGGGTTCCTTCTCAGCTCTCAAAGGATAGGGTCCCAAACCTCACATGAAAGCAGAAGCCAAGGCTGCACTCACCAATACAAGTAATAGGCCAAGGCCACGGCCACCAGCGAGGCGCAGAGCCCCGAGAAGAGGCAGGTGGAGGAACTGGTCAGCATCTTCCACACTTGGTCTGTGCACCTCTCAAACTTGCAGAGGAGCAGGCAAGGGAACAGGGTCGGCCTCAGAGACCAGCCCTCCGGGTACCACCAGCCTGACTGGGGACTCCCAAGGGATAGGAGGATGCACCCCAATGAGCACAAAGACCAGGCCTCTCCTCCCACTCAGGCTCCCACTAATCCAGTAAGCGGCTTTCCCAGGAGCTGTTGTCAACAGGAGCGTCACAGGGCGCCCAGGGCACACTGACCCCAGGTGGGGCCCCGAGATGCCACCCGGTCCTTTCTGCCCCCAATGGCCCATGGAACTGGCCTGGCTCAGGCAGAGAAGGCTGGCGCTTCAGCCCCCAGGTGCCCCACACAGTGGACACACGTTCAAGGCTCATGACCACAATTCCTGCTCCAGGCGACCTGTTAAACAGCATATGAGGACAGACTGGCATCAAGCACTGGGACTCAGCCCCAGGAGGCTTCGGAGTCACTGTTACAAAGGTTTCAAGGCTGTGACTCCCATGTCTGAGGGTGTTCCTGTCCACCTCAAATAGCAGCATGCTGGAGCCCACTTCAGAGGAGAGGAACACAGTGAGAGGGGACCAATGTTCACTTAACTCTGAGGATTCTGTGTGACAGAGACAGAGACAGAAAGACACAGACACAGAGAAAGAGACACAGAAAGGCCTGCACATCTGCCCAGGAGGCAGTGCCCATGCAGCTTTGGACAGCCACTTGTGTCCCTCGACACGGCAAACATGACTAGCTGCACCACCGAGATCCACCTCACGCTGCCCTGTGAGACCTGGCCTGCAGTGGTGGTTCCTCAGGACTGCTGGAGCTGGAGGAGCTCTGCCTCCTCCTCCTGAGCACCTGCTGCCACCTCAGACCCCAAGAGCCACCTAGAGCCACAGGATGCAGCCAAGGGGCAGCAGTGGCCCAGATGGCAGAAAGGGAGTGGGGATAGGGCCAATTTATCACCCCTCCTGGCTCTTTTTCTCCTCTTGGCCTCTGCAGGAGCATAGCTGGCGTCTCGGAGTCTTGGAGCCTTGGCCTCCCCAAGCTCAGCTCCACTTAGCCCAGGGTGACATGGGTACAGCTGCTCCTGGGACTCCTTGGGACCCTTTTGGAGCTGCTACTCTGGCACTCACTGGTTGCCAGGCAGACTGCCCTCCTCATCTAGCCACACAGTCTGCTGGGGGCAGAGCGCAGTGCCCCTAAGGCTTTCCCATGCCTAATCCCCACAGCTGCCACAGCCTCCTCACACTTGCTCAGGACCGAGTCCTGAAAGCTAGGCCAGCCTCTCCAGTCCATGACTTTCCTGTGGGCCCTGAATGACAGGTTTGATGATGTGCGGGCTAGCCTTGGTGGCCAGTCCTTACTCCCCTCTCCCTCAGTGGCTGGCTGGGTCCTTTCCCAGGAAACGCCCTGACACACCTGCCAAGGGTTCTGTGCTCCCCCATGTGGGTCCCAGATGCCCTGGATGCGGTGTTCCTCATCCCCTTCTTTCTGAGGACAATTGGTCCCTGGCCTTGGCCAGTTCACTGTACCCACACTCCAGGAAATGGGCCCATCGAAGCCAGAGTTCAGCAAACTGGGTCCCCACCAGCAGCAGCCTGTGTGTGGCCCTGGTGCTCAGTCCTCAGGAGATACACCTGTCACCATGCAGGGGCCTCCCTGACATTTACCCAGCTAATGAGCCCACAGGGACATGCCAATCACCCACCTGTTTACCCGGATTTAGCTCAACCCTAAAGCCCAGTCCTGAGACTGCAGCAGAGGAGGACCGTGGCAGTGAAGGGCACAGCCCATGCTCGGGGCCCTCCCCAGCCCTTGCTGGCCAGCCATGTTCTACTTTCCGAGGCCCCCTCCCATGCAGGCCTCTGTACCTTGATATACAAGGTCAAATGGTAAAAAAAATTCAGGCTCCAGGTGTTCCCTCCTGCTGCTCTGGAAGCCTTCATTGGAACAGCCTTCTCTCTGTAGGCAAGCCTCACACTCAGGGATCTATCTGCATAGCACTGCCAGAGATGGAGGCACCAACCCGCCTTCCAGTGCCTTAGACCAGTTAGCAAATGCACAAACAGAAACCAGTCCCCACCATTACCAGTTCTGCTGGGGTTGCACAGACGATGACAGAGGCTTCGGGAGCACAGCAGCAGGGATCTCATGGATGGCGGTAAGTATTCCCAGCCCACACAGGGTCAGGGTGGAGAGCAGGTTACCAAGCCAATCAAATGAAGAGTAAGCAGCCAAGGCAGGAGCCAAGACGCTGGCCCATCCCTGGGGCTCACTCAGCCATGTGGGGAAATCTACACAAGGGCTGTGGCTTGGCAAAGCCTCTGGGGGAGGGCAGGCCACTGCATGGGCGGAGGGATGCATGCAGGCCCTGTCAGGTCACTGCATGCTGCAGACAAGAATGTGCTTGTTTCTGGGATGCTGCAGGTCTGGACAGCTTGGCCAACTGTGTCACCAGCTCTGGTGTTGGAAAGGGAGCCACAGTCCTATGGGAGCGGGCACTGGTAAGCACTCAGCCTTGGGGAGCTGACAGGAGCCCCAGTGGGTGTTTGGGAAGCAGAAGTGTAGGATGGTGTGAGGCTATGGTGTGCGGGGACTGTGGTATATGTGTGTGTGTGTGTGTGTGTGTGTGTGTGTGTGTGTGAGCGCTCACACACACATATGCACGCACACGCTCATGTTGCCATCACAGGGACCTTGGCATGTTTCTGTAACTACTGTCTCCAGCTTAAGGCTCACCTCAGGACAACTGCTACCTGAGATGAAATCCTTACAAAAAAAAAAAAAACTATTTCAGACCTGAAACCTGTGGACAGATTTGTTGATGGTTTGTGTGACTTCCACGAGACCCCAAATGAAGTTTCCATCAGACCTGGCTCTCTGGGTCTCATGGACTTGGACTCTGACCCCCAGAGAGCCGCCCACCCTGCTCAGTAGCACATGAGACTTGAAGCTGTGACACGCTGGGAGCCCCTGAGCACCATCCTCCCAGGACACAGTGCTGTGCTGGAAGTAGCTGGCTCAAAGCCCAGACAGTTGGAGACCCTGCCATACCTGGGGAGGAGTGTGGAACTCTTCCAGACATGAGTGACCATGAAATGTGGGATGTGGTGTGGCATTTCATGAGTGACAAACCACCCTGTCCTGCTGGACCCACCAACCTGCATTCCCACAGTGCAAGGGATACCAGCTTGGACAGGGCCCTGCACCCCTCTTGAGGACCTGGGATTTCCCGGCTAGGAAGAGGCCTTAGCTGGGGCTTAGAGTCCTTGTGGGATGAGCTGACAGCTGAAGCCAGAACAAAGCATCCTGAGACCATGTGGTACCTTCCAGGACACAGTGGCAACACAGAGGGTCTGGCTAGGAAGCTGGAACCCTGGCTGGGCATGCAGCAGGAAGGCCTCCCCTGCCCAGGGGGTGGAGGCTGGGCAGAAGGTGACCTGAGCAGAGGACACTCCTTTGTCCCCTCCCGCTCCCCCTCTAGACCAAGGAATGACCTTAATCACTTGGGCCTCGCTGCTGGCGCTGGGTCACCTACTTCCACAAAGTCACTTGCTGGAAATCCAGGGCTTAGACAGATAGGAAAGCCACAGGAGGCAGTGCCGCCTAGCACAGGGCCCCGGCTGCGACCTCTTGCACTATGGGACACTCACCCAAAAGGATACACAGGGCTACTGAAGATTCTAGCTAAGGGTCACCAGCACCCATGTCCCATCTCAGGAGAAGAAGCTCCACTTGTAATGGGCACCAGCAGCTCCAACTGCTCACACTGGGCATCTCTAACCCTGGCCCTAACCTTTTGCCAGTTTATCTGCTGCCTATGTCTCAGCCTCACTTGCAGCTGGCCTGGCTGCCAGCTGGTCCCTACTCAGCCCTGTGCCTGACAGGAAAAAGCCTGCTCACAAGTTCCCACAATAAGCTACAACCCAAGAGGTTAGCTATAAGCTTGGGGCACCTCCGTGTCACACACAACACAGGGCCACCTGGCTGGTTCCCCAGTGCCCCACAGTCCCACCTGAACACCTGCCCCGTCACCACACAGTGCAACTTCAGGACCCTTTCCACAGGGTGCACCCCACTGCCTAGCTTACGTCTTGCTCCTTCCCAGAGACAAGACACCAGGGACCTCTGCTAGGACCCACAACCCACCATGCAGGCACATGGCAGAGGTCACAGTGAGTCACATGCCCCCAGAACACAGGACATTTGATGCCTCCCTTAGAGTGTCTACTGAGCAGCTAGGCCAAGCACCCACTGTGGGCCTGTGCTTCAGGTCCTGGGGCAGGGGTAACAGGGCAGTACATGTGCATCCCTCAGTCCCCAGGGAGCTACCAGGATGGGGACAGCCTGCAGAGCACCCACATTTGGACCCTCTTATCAGGCACAGTGGTAACACAGCAACTTGCCTGGGCACACCTACCTGCCCACCACAGGCTCTCAGCTTAGGGGACACTGAAGCCATGGCCTCCAGCAATCAGGAACAAACATCGACACTTCCGCACAGCAACCTGACACAGCCCTGGTTCTGGACAGGAGAAAGTGCATGTGATCTACCCACAACCACTCCTGCCTTAGTGTCTCTCCTGAGGTCCCAGAGACGTCACAATGCACCTAGCTCTGAGCGCCCAGATCACATGTTCGAATGTCACTAGCTGTGCGGCTGTGTCCCAACACAACCCTTTTATGGAGAGAACCTGGTCCAGTCACAGGAGCTGCACTGTCACCTGCAATGCCAAGTTCTCTGCGTGATCTACAGTAGCTTCTGTCAGATCCAGGACAAAGGTTTCGAGGTTCTGGCTGGGCCAGAGGAGCTGGGGCTCAGTGAGGGCCAGCACACAGCAGAGCGCCCTGCAGCCTGCAGAGCTGTGCCTCTGCCCTCCTACCCCACCCTCTGCAGGATTGGCCATGGAACCAGCTCCACAGCCATTTGGTCCACTCATCCCCACTTGGCGGACCCTTGAGCATGCCAGCCTGGCTCCAGGCAGCAATGTTCACACCTGTGTCCACAGGTCTGGATCCCAGGTGCCCTAGCTGCACCCTCTTCCCACTCAGGTCTGGGATGGTGTCCCTCTAATTTCAGCACTTTGTCTCCTTGTCATGGCAGCATGGCACTGGGCAGAAGGCCCCCAATGCTCTCTGCAGATAGACAAACCCTGAAGCAACCTTCCGGCCCTAGACACCACAACAGCTCCAAGTGCCAATGTCAGCCGCTGCCTGGCCTCTGGCCCAGCTGCTCCATCCCAGAAAGTGTGGCAAGAGCCACATTTGGCAGGACTGGCACTGGAGTAGAGCAGGTTACTCACACAGGGTGACAGAGGCTGAGAGCTGATGCAGAACAGAAACACAAAAAGTCAGTCCACAAATACCTGGCAAACACCAGAGGCCGAGATCAGAATCCATGGAGAGAGGCGATAGGTGCTGGAGAAAAGAACTGTACACTGGAGGCCCCCAGACACAGGTTCCAACCGCTCCTCTGGAAGCCACAGCTCGGGGCAGGCGCACAGGCCCTGGCTTGGTTCCCCAGCCAAGCAGTTTGTCATAACCCATGCTCAGTTGGGAAGGGATGAAGGGGTGGAGGCGCAACCCACTCCAGTGCCCCTCCCACAGATGTGAGGCCCAAGGCAGGCCAGGGAATCAGAGTCCTGCCTTAGTCAGGGTTGTCCCTTGAGCTAAGCCTTCACAACAGACAGGACCTGCCACAGCCTAGTCAGCACAGATGCCATCAGCCACAGCTGCCAGCTGTGCTGGCCCGCATGTGCCATGAGGTGTTAGTCAGTGCAAGGGTGAAGCTGACAGTATTAACACCTCTCACCTAACCCAACTCTTCCAAGATGACTGGGGAACAGGTAACAGGGCCTATGGAGATGTCCCCAAGGCTCTGGGGCAGAGTCACTCCGAGCCCCACATCACACCCCAGCTTCCAGGAGCTTGGTGTTGTATTGGCTGGCAGCCCCAACAGTGGAGCTGTCTTGTCACTTCAGTGACTTGGGTGGCAAAGGGCCACACAGAGGAGTAGATGGGAGATCTCAGCCTTGGCCCAGGCCTTTGGGATGGTGCTGGAAGGCAGAAGGTAGAAGGCAGCCGGGATGAGTGTCCAGTGTTAGAGTGGTACCCGCCCAAGGCTCCAGAGTGAGAGGCTAAGGAGGGGCTCGAGAGCCACATCAACCTGGGGACAGATAGAGCCGGATGAGGTGCGGCCAGGGCTCCACCTCTCCCTGCATCCCTGGGTGCCTAGCTGACTTGCCCAAAGATCCTTTCCAGGCCTCAGCAGACACAACAGTCTCTACCAGATGTATGTGGCTTCAGGGTGGCAGGGACACAGTGGAGCGAGGTTTTACCTCACCCTTAACCCACTGGGAAGAGTAGGAAAGAGGGCACTCACCTGTGATTTGTGCCCAGGGGGCATGTGGCCCAGTGGTGCCAGCACCAAGGGGACAGGCCATCACCCCGCACACTGGTACATACCAAGGGAGAGACACCAGAGTGATGCGGGTTTGGGGAACTGTGCGGGGAGGAGGGAGGCTCTGAATCTGAGGGTGAGGTCTCAGCTGCAATGCACACACATACACACACACACACACACACACACACACACACACCTGTCTTGTGCCAGCCCAGTCCCCAGCAGCATGTGTGGGTTGGACCCAGGGCGAACCTGGGCATGCCTGTCTCAAAGACGGAATGATAAGCGACATCTTCAGGCTTGGAAGCTAGGACAGAGGCCTGGCAGCACAGAGCCCCAGTGACTGCTTATGGCCAACAGGGAGCAAAGCTACAACTTGGGGAGCGTTCATGAGGAGAACCTGTTCCCCAGGCCATAGGCTTAAGGGTGAGACAAAAATGCACACTTTTATTTTAGGCCTGGTCCCTAAAAACCCAGAGCTCCTGGGTGGCAACATGACTTGAGCCACTCTCATCCTACACTGGGCTCATGTGTAGGTAAAGTTCCTTAAACATGGAATTTTGGGAGTGATGGGATCTCTTCAGTCCTCCACCTCCACCTCTTGATCATGACTGAGGCAGCAGGCGAGAGTGGACTGTGGTCTCTGGCTGGCTGGGTCACCCACGGGCCCAGTGCTGAGCTCCAGGCTGGAGAGGTCAGTGAGGTCCCCCGTGCTTAGCACCCCGGCCCTGGCCTCTGCCCACCCCCCACTGTGCCTGGTTCTCAGTGATGGCCCCTGTGCCATCTGAGTTCTGACCCAGAGCCCCAGGCCCCAGCCAACACCAGACCCAGTGCCCTTCCCCCTCAGATAGCCTGCAGATCCCTGGCCTGTTTGTCTTCATGCCAGTGTAAACAACTGCAGTGTAGACACACTGCCTACAATGTCTCAAATCCCACACTTGGCTCTGTCGTGGGGCAACTGAGTCACTGGCATCAGCCAGCATGGTACCAGCCTGCCTGGGCCTGTCACTGCAGAGCACTCCCAGATGGCTCAAGCTGATGGCCCTCCTCAGGATGTGAAGAGCTCATGCAGATGCTGAGGGGTACTATCACCAGAACCCGTAAGTGCAGCCAGGCCGTGGTTCCCCAGTCCTGGCGCTCACAGGAGACCTGGCCAGCTCCACATGTGCATGTGAGTGCACAGCTGTGCAGATGCCCAAGTGTGTGCATGTGTGGCTGGTGCAGAGTATGCACATGTGTCATCAGGGTGGCATGTGTGAGCATGTGAGCGTGCATGCACTCTCCGGTTCCAGGGCCACCCCACATCTGTCTGCATGGCAGGTGCCGGCTGCCTGGCCCCATACCAGGCCACAGGGGCTATCTCCATTTGATGGCACTGGATTCCTGTGGCACCTGGCTCAGCATGAGTGGGGTCAGGGTCTGTCCCCTCTGTGTTAGCTGAGAAAGTGCAAGCAGGCCAGTTCCTGGGGATACCGCCACACAGACAGCAACTATCTCATGTGTATACGCCTGGGTCTCTGTGGCTATTGGCCTCTGCCTGTGACCCACATGCTACCTTGGGCACACCCAGGGCACAGGTGTCACCTCTGTCCCTAGCACAGTACATCTGTGGGCATGGTAGGCCCTTGAGCCAGCAAGCAGTGTAAGAAACCTGAAAGGCCAACCAGAAGCCAGCCAGTCTCTCACGCAGGGTTAAACAACCAGGTTCCTCACAATACTGCAAGGGGCCACCCACCACCCAGATCCCAGTCCAAAGTCCATCCCCTGAAGAGCACTGTAATGTCCAGAGCCCTGGAGCCCAGTGAGCAACTGGACTTTTGAAGCAGAAGGGACACACTGGCAGTGTAAGCAAGCTCCTGGCACACAGACTTAGTTCCCCCAGTGGCCCAAAAGGACCAGGAGCAGAGCTCCCTGCAGGGTGCCCACGCATCTCAAGGGAGACACTGGTACTCATGGGTCTTGGCCATCAGATGCCCCTGCCCAGATTGCAGCATGTCACTAGGAAAGGCCTGGGACAGGACCAGAGTGGGGGAAGGCTGGGTGTGACTAGTTAATTTCAAAACTCCAGGACACCTGTGCAGAGCAGTTCCCAGAGCCCTGCCCACACCCAACAGAGAGAGCCGTCTTCAGGTCCTCTCTGGGAATAGGGGCATCCCTAGCTGATATTATAGGTTAGTGTCCACACACCAAATGATCCAATGGCACTTCGACTAAGACAGAAATCACAAGGAATGGTATAGACATGAACCACAGCAGGCTAAAAACAGGAGATACTACCGTGCCTCAAAATCCACGCAACATATATACAGTATCCAGGAATGAAGCAATAAAGAAATATTCAATTCCAAAGAGTAATTAAAATGCACATATTTTAGTAAATTACTAACAAGAATTAATTTAAAAAATAAGAAATCAGTAGCAAAGTCAGAAAGCAGAAAAGGTCCCCACTGTTCACAGAAACATGCTTCTCTAAATTGTCTTGGAAGAAGAGAAACAAACAGTGAAGAATTTTTAAGAAATACATTAGTAGGGCCAGCCAGATAGCTGAGCGGATTAAAGCACCGGCTCAGGCAGATGCAGGGGCTGGGGGTTCAATCCCTGCCATGCCAGTGCCAGTCCCACCCCCAGGGCATGCTGAGATGGGGATTGAGACTGGGTGTGGTGGCACATGCCTATAATCCCAGCACTTGGGAGGCTGAAAAACAGGAAGGATCACTGAGTCTGATCTGTGTAGTGAGACCCTGTAGACCCTATACTAAATATATTAAGAGAAAGAAAAAGAAATAACTACATTAATGAAAGCTAAAGCAATATACATAGGAGAATTTATCTCATTAACTGTCTTCATCTTCACAAGGGAAATCAAAAGAGTGAAGCTTCCAATTCAAAGTGTTGGAAAATTATAAAATAAATGAAGGAATAAAAGTTAAAACAAAAAATTTAAGAGAAATCATCTAAATGAACAGTTAAATTGAAAGATTTATTTAGGAGGAGGACCAGTAAGTAATCTACAGCAGTTAAAAAATAATAATAATCAAGCCAGGCACGGTAGTGAACGCCTATCATCTCAGCATTTGGGAGGCTTAGGCAGGAGGATTGCTGTGAGTGCAGAGCCAGCCTTG